TGACGGAGTACCTGCAACTTCTGGAGGCAAACTGTTCCACTGATTTATAGTTCTCACTGTCTGGAAATTTCTCCTTAATTCTAGGTTGGAGCTCTCTTTGATAACTTTCCATCTGTTGCTTCTTATTCTGCCTTCAGATGCTTTGCAGAATAGGTTGACCCCCTCTTCTTCATGAAAGCCCCTCAAATATTGGAAGACTGCTAACATGTCATCCCCAGTCTTTCTCTTTATTAGACGAGACCAGGGGTATCAAACTTGATTTCACTGAGGGCCACATCAGGGTTGTGTTTGACCTCATGGGGGGGGGGGGGATGGCATGGCCAGGGTGTGTGTGGCCAGCTTGACGTCACTCATGTTGGGGGCACCTGTGGTGGCCTGAGGGCTTTGCCAGTGAAAATAGGCAGAGCTGCCATGGTCTCCCGCAATCCTTTGCCAGTGAAAATGGTTTTTAGTGGCAGAAGCACAGTGGGCCGGTCCTTCACTGTTTCCAGAGTGCCCCCCTGTGCCAGATCTAAGCACTTCATGGGTTGGATCCAGCCAGAAGGATTTTGATTTTGACACCCCTAGACTAGACATACCCAGTTCCTGCAAACATTCATTGTATGTTTTAGCCTCCACCCACCTAATAATCAAAAGCAGGAAGGGCAAACTGAAAAAAAGAAAAAGTAGAACTTATGGAAATTGGACTAAGTTGCAGGCATTATACACTAATGGTCCTGATGCATACAGTATGTACCATTTCAAGTCAATTGTTGATTTAACTGTTCCCTTCCTTTGTTTTACAAAATGCCTTGTGGGAAAGCAATCCAGATTTCATTCATTTTCTTATATTGTGACCCCCACCCAAATCCTATAACTCTAAAACCACAATCCGCTTTCAAATGTATTATGAGCAGCCTTAAGGCAAAGGGTGGGGAAGCCCTATCTAAGAGAACAGTACTTAAGAGAAATCCTGACTTTGGGCACACCATAACTTTGGCATACAGAGGATTGAGTTTGCTTGATTTTTTCAAAAGAAAATGAAGAATTAAATATGTCTAACATAACACAGAGAAGACAATCCTTTTTCATCCCAAAAACTGCATTCATTTGGACTTTGGGATTCGTTGATTAGATAAGTTTGTTGTTACAGAAATAGCTAGTATATATTAAATATGCAAAAGTAAAATGTTGAGGCCTTTACTCTACTGCACTGAAAATTGTTGGGAGTTCATGCTTTTTCTCTCTCTCCTTTTTCCTCTTTACCCCACACTTTTCTCTTCCTCTCCCTCCTCTCCTTAATCTCTCATCGTCTTCATTTTCACTTGTGTTTTATACTTTGATGACAGAAGACAGCAGCAGTAGCGGTGCCAAGGGAAGCAGGAGTATGAGGAACTGGAGAGTACCAGGGCCTGAAGGAAGAACTAGAGAGGATGTGGAAAGGAAAGGCCAAAGGGATCCCAGAGGGTGGTAGGAACACTTGGAGCTATAACTCCGAAACTGGGAGAATGGATCCAAAAGATCCAAGGAGTGACATCAGAACTTCTGTCCAGAAGAGTCCAGTGCCAGGAAGAGCTAAGATACTGCACAGAACCCTCAAACTTCTAGACTCTGATAGAAGGCTAGAATTTGAGGAAGACACTTGCCACTCATAAGAGTCTCATTTCCTTGATTGTAATATTTCGTGGGTCTACAAGACAATTGTACATTTTTAAAAAAGATTAAAATAGTTGGACTGAAAGCTGCATTTTAGTTAATCTTTTTCCTCTCATCCCATTTTGATCTCCCTCTCCACCAAATTGATTCTCCAAATGTGTTTTGTAAACCTTTGATGAAGACAAGAATTCTTCCTCCCTCCAGCCATTTTCAAGGAGGCAGAATTAATTTCTTCCTTTTACATTCATGGAAGTGACTTCCTTCCAAATTGCTTTGCAGAGAGGAACAAAAATGCCACGATCTCCAAAACAACTCGCAAGCAGAGCCCACCTCCTGCCAAATGTCACTGTACCTCAATATTTCTCAACCCTGTCAACTTTAAGGTACCTAGACATCAACTCCCAGAATTCCCCTGCCAGCATTTGAGGAATTTGGGTCCTCACATCTTAAAGAAGGTGAGATTGAGAAAGATTGCTGTAGTTATTCCCCATCACTTTTCAATGGTACAGGTTTTCTTTTCCTATACTTTCACTGTCAACTCGCGAAGCATCCCTGACCTGCTGTTGAGTTGCCATAGGCAAGGGGGATGGGGAATTGAACTTCGCACCTGCATCAAGGAGCTTGCATCTTAGCCAAAACATAGCACATTACAGCTGACACGTCAAGATCATCTCTACAGAAACCCACAGTGGCCAGAGGGAGTGACTTCTACAACTCACAAAATTGCTTCATTGGGGAATGTGACTGATGACACATCTTGGGGGAGAGGGAAATGGGGTCAGAGGCAAATCGTGAATTAACTGAGATCAGAGTTGGCTTCACTTGGTCCATGCTGACATGAAGCTCCTAATAAATAACTGGATTTCTTTTGAAGCTTGGCTTGAGGTTCATGATTTAATTAGGGCATCAGTCGGAACCCTGACAGCAAGCCAACTCTGACCCCAGTTCAACACCATCCAGTTGAAGGCATCTCTAGTAGTCTGGATACTCTACAGAGCTCCAAAGTAGTTCTGAGGCTTTGGGATCAGCTGTTTCACTTTAGGAAAAACTCTTTTTCAAGAACACCCACCCTTGCTTTTGATTTATCCCAACTTGGCTCAGTATCTGGATTATCCAAAATGGATGCACACCCACAGCTTAATCCTTATATTTACCTGCTGGATGGGGGGAAAAAAGCCAAAGAAGGGCAAAACTCTTGTTATGAACTTCAGGGAACCATGTATTGCCACCTTTGTTGTGTGTTTTATCATAGACTCCTTCCGGTCTTGGCAATATTTTCAGTTAATATTACTTGGCATGGACTTCCAATTGTCTGGCCAGGATGGCAGCATAATATATTCAGCACAAATCACAATTCCAGAAGTAATTGCGAGGGATATGATTTCTTTCTGGCAGTTTTGCAGAAGGTATGGTCTTCCCAACCCTATAGATCAGAAAGAGCAGATCATTCGTGATCTGTCTTCTTGAATCCAGGCTACTTCCCTGTCAGCCTTGTGAGATAGTCCAGACAAGAAGAACACCCAGGAGTACAACTCCTATCCTATCTTACATTAAAGTTACACTAACAAAATCTTTCATGTCTAAAAATACAACTCTCTCCCCCCACATAAGCAACTTTACAAGTCCGAGAAGCCAAGGAAGGATCCTCCTGAGATGTTTGCCATGCCCCCCATTCCTAGTCGGGCGGCTCTTCTTCCTGTCTCCCAAGGCCATTTCCACATACAATTACATCACCGAGTGCTGACTGAATAATGATTTAGATATATCTGCTCTCAGAGCAAGCATCTGGCCTCTTTTAAGAAAAATAAACTCTACTGAGAGTCAGTAGGAAACGATGAAAACCTAGGAGAAGATGAAGAATAGCTCACTGAAGCACAAGAGCTGGCAAATCACTTCAGCCAAATTGGCTGAGTGGTTACAAAGAGATTAAGACCAGATTAAAATCCAGGTTCATCTATATAACTCACTGGATAACTTTGCTCATACATTCTGTGGTTCTTAAACTGGGGATAATTCTGGGGGTAATATAGAAATGTATTTTTCAGAGCCAGCTCTTGCTGCTGTCTGATGTCTCTATTTTCTTTTTTATTTCAAATGTTCTCTTTTGCCTTTTAACTCTCCCTCAATATTCTTTGGCTTGTAGAATTTCTACTACCACAGGGCCTAAATTAGCAAAATTATATGTAATTTTACACAGAAACAAGCCATGAGGGAGATGAGTGCCTTTTTCTGCACACCAGATTCTCCCCCAAAGTGACAATGCTCTGAATACAACAAATTGCCACAAAATCAGGTCTTTTCAGAAATTCACATGGACCTCATCAAGGGAAGCGTTTTAGTTCTCCATGGTGCTACTAACATGCTACAGTAAAATAGAAGTACTCAGCAGAGCAAACTGGATTCGTGCACTTTTCAGGAGAGAGTGAGTGGGTTGATGCTAGTAGCGATCTGGATTATTATTTTACTGAAGAGGTGCCTCAGAATGAGGGTACCTCTCTTTTGCTGCAATATAGGAATTAAAACAAATTCCACCCAGAATGTTTCTTTTTGTGCATGGTACATGAAGTGCATATGATAATCCACAGATTGCTTGAATAACCTTGTTCTGCTAATATATACCTTGATCTGCAACAGCGTCTACAGGAGGAAAGTTATACGATACAATTATGGTTTTTGTACCATCTTTATCAAAATATAGGAATTAAAACTTCAAATTCAAAATTGCATGACTAAATGACATTGCATTGATTTTTCTAAAATGTAATATGTACTAAAAAATGTAATTATCCCCCACGCCTACCCTCCTCCCTCCTTCCCCTACCGCTCCTCTGCCCTGCAGTTTTCTTGACAAGTTTTCAGAAGTGGTTTGCCTTGGCTTTCTTCTTGCTAAGACAGAGAGATAGGAAGTGGCCCAAGGTCATCCAGCTGGCTCACAGTCTGATGGTTTCTAGCCTGGTGCTTCAACCTTTATATCAAACTGACCATTTTCACCTAGGGGGGAATAGATGGAAATGCTACCAATTTGTAAAAAGTAATTCACAATGCCTAGCTGACATTAGCAGGTGATTCAGTGGCAAACAGAGATTCAGCAACCTTAACAATAATAGACAATCTAAATCCCAAAGGTGCTTTTTTTTTCAAGAGGCAACTGGACTCCCTTTGTTTTTCCCTGTAGATGTTTTACTTCTCATCCAAGAAGCTTCTTTAGTCCGCTTGCAGAAAAGACCCACCAAACCACGATCTGGATGACTGAGAATCTCCATAGACAAAACCTAAATTCCAACTCATTTTTTTTTTAAGAAACTGACTGAATAGACTCCCGTAGTTTGCAGGTGACAAACCAAGGAGAGAAAAAAGAAACTTACCTGATTTTCCTACTCCAGCTCGTCCAAAGATGGCTAGTTTTACCTCTGCGCTCTTAGCCATGGCAAGGGAACGCGCCGCAGACTGGTGGCAATGTCGCTGTTGTGTCCGATTTGATGCAAAGGAGGACTTTCCCCAGCCCAGCCTTCAACCTTGTTGTATCATTATGTTTTCCAAGCAGGGCTGTGAGAAAAGACCCACCGAATAGAATTAAAGAGCTCATAAGGGGAAGGAAGCAGATACTCTCAACTATAGGCGATATTTGAATGCTACCTTCATAGCACATCGGAAAATCCTTTGAATCAGTTACCATATTGTCATCTGCATTGAGCACACAGCGACTGAGATTCCATATCACCAAAAGATCCAGATAAAATGGGGTGAGTAATTTGTCATTCTGCATATTGACGTAACATGTTCTGCGAACCACACCATCACATAAAAGCACAGTGTGATGACCCGGGGTGTGACACAAAAATGACCAAGTCACAAAAATAGAAGAAAGTCCCTTTAATGCCTCCAACTTGGCCCCAATGTCCAATTATCCTGGGCAAGATACCAAACTCTTAAAGAAAACAGTTTACAGAAGGAGTAAATGCAGTCCACACCCAAAGTAAAGTTAATTCAAAATAAAAAACCCAACACACCATACCGAAGGAATTACTACAGCAAGCAAGGATGATTAATTGTAGACTTCTACCAGATAACGGAGCAACCACAGTTGGGAGGAAGCCAAAAGTCAGATAAGCTCCAACAAAAATGCACGCTTTACTTCCAGCACCTTTGCCATGTGCAGTTTGTTCTTTTAACCAGACCTCCCAGTTGCAGCCCATGAAGGGGATCAGGGCCCCTTCCTCTCACATTTCCTTCCATGCCACTCACGTTTCTCTCTTATCCGCTCCTCCTTGTGTGCCCTAGGATGAAGAGGGGATGGGCCTGGGTCTTCCTCTGAATGCCTATCCAGCCTGTGCCCTTCCCCAGTTTCCTCCACAACCATCGGAGCCACACTCCCACTCCCTATCAGCTGTTCCATCTCTCCCCTGGAGTCACACTCCAACAGGGGCATGACAGCACAGTATTTCAGGATCCAAACTGGGTCAGTCCCCGGGACCGGAGGTTTTTGTCTTCTGAGCTTTTGGACTCGTGCTGGAGCCCACCTTCAGGGAACTTCTCTCCGGCAGGTGTCAGCAGAGCTAGCTGCAGAGTCGGATGAGGAGGAGGCAGAGGGAAGGCCTGGGCCAGCTTCGGAGCCCTTGGAAGGCTCTGATAAGGAAACAGCATCAGAGGCAGAGGCAGTGGCAGGGCCTTCCATCCTCCCCCAGGCAGCTGTCTTCGGGACCTGAGCTGAGTGAAGGGGAGGAACAGATGGGGGCCATCCAAGGTGCACGTATGCACAGAGAGGAAAGGAGAGGAGAGCAAAGGAAAACAGTAACCCGGCTCTCAGGGAGAGGTAGACGTAGATAATAACTCGCCCCTCCCTGGCTGAGAAATAAATTGGAGGGGTTTGGAATTGGCTGATGGCCAGAGGCAAGAGTTTGTTTCGAATATACAGCAAGCAATTTGGATTTCTTGGCTAAACCCAGGTTTGTTGGGACTAATTATGTTTGATTTTTTTGTTTATCCATGTGAATAAAAGACTGTTACTGCCCTGTTATAAAAAGGGGTTGTTTTACTCATGAGTAAACATCTTTATCACTACTTGCGAAGGCTGGATCAGAACAGCAGACTGTGTGAAAATCTTTCACACCTGACACCTGCTTTGTTATCCTCCCATCACTTCTCTCCATTTCTTGTCATTTTTAATGTCTTTCTTGTTTTGTTTTGTTTTGCTTTGTTTTAATGATTTGTAAATAACCAGAGTTGCTAGAAATTGGATGGCATATAAATTTAATAAACCATCATTATCAACAGCAGCAGCAATTTGCACTGGAAAGGTATGAGTTGAAGTCCTGGAACTGTGGTGGCACAGTGGTTAGAATGCAGTAACTGCAGCAAACTTTGCCCACAGTGAATAGTTTGATCCTGATAGGCTCAAGGTTGACTCATCCTTCCATCTTTCCAAGGACAGTTAAATAAGGACCCAGATTGCTGGGGGAAATAAGCTGACTGTACACTTCTCAGAGAGTGCTGTAAAGTACTATGGAGCAGAGTATATGTCAACTGCTATTGCTGTGTTCGCCGCAACATTTACGCAGAGATTTAGGAAAACCTTCAAAACATGTCCAATATATTTTTTAATGGACAGACTAAGTTTGGCTTGTGTCTGAAGCGGAATGTCTAATGTGGGGTTTTCTACTTTCAAAGGGCTTTATTTTATTTTTATTTTTTACCTTTCAACAGCAAGGACAGAATGGCCTAATGGTTTTATTTGCTCCCTATAAAATATTTGTTTTCTACATTTGGAGAGATTTGTTCTTCGTGTATACCTTCATAACCGGATAAAGTATCCAGCTGCATCAAGGTTCCACTTATAGTACTGCTATTTCCTTTTTTTTTTTTTTTTTTTGAACTCTACTTTTCCATTGTTCAGCCAGCCAAGAGAGCTTCAATTATTGTTCCCAGCATCTGGCCTTGAACAGTAACTTCTGAAGCATTATCTGAAGTTGCTTAATGTATGAGAGATACATGAAACCTTTGGCAAAGCGCTGAAAAACCCCGTAGTTTACAGTATCCGCCTTTTTATTAGTCAGCAGGAATTACTTTAAAAGCTCGACTAGTGGGGGAAATGAAGCTATCTTGACATTTCTCCGAAACAAAGTTTTGTGCTAAAAGGTATTCAGAAGCTTTTTGGGATAATCAGCATCAGATGCAGAAAGTAGGATTAGAGAAAGCTGGAAATGTTTGGTTGAAAATGTGTTCCCTTAAAGGAGCACAAAGTTTACTCCTTCCCATCTAATTCTTCCCCATCTGTTGGATGGAGAGATTATGATCCAGAAATGTATGAGTCTGGCGCAAAGAGAAATGATTCCCTGTGCACCGATACTGAATCCGAGATCATTATGCCTCTGAATCCAGGGGAAGAGATGCAACATGTTTATGTATTTATTCTCATTGTGTTCCTTTGCCATTGTTTACTTTATCATTCTATTATTTTACTTCTATTATGTTTACATGCCTTTCATTTTTCTTCCCTTTTATTATTGTAAGCCACCTAGAATAGCCTCACAGCAAGATGGGCGGCAAATAAATTTAACAAAAAGTGGTTTGATAGATAGATAGATATAGATATAGATATAGACATAGATATAGATATAGATACATAGATATACTATGTATGTATGTATGTATGTATGTATGATATTCAGCTTTGTTCGGGTATTTTCCCACGTCATTATAGTTGTGCTTTTAAAGTTGTAGCAACGTTTCGGCAGAATCTCATCTGCCATCATCAGGTTTCTGTATTGTGTTCGTCTGTATTGTGTTCAAACACAATACAGAACCCTGATGATGGCAGATGAGATTCTGCTGAAACGTTGCTACAACTTTAAAAGCACAACTATAATGATGTGGGAAAATACCCGAACAAAGCTGAATACCATACATGTAAGTACCCATGAAAACTTAAGAATATTACTCATTACTCTGAGAAGCACAGAGCCGAAGACACAAGCCTGAAGATGATGAATGAGACTTCATTGAAACGTGGAAGAAAACTCGAATAACCAAAGATACACACACACACACACACACACACACACACACACCATGCTCTATTTCAGTTCATGAATATTCTCTGACATATACATTCTTTTTTTAAAAAAATGATATGAAACTGCTACATCTGCAAGCCTTTTGGCTTCTTCCATTCAATGGTGTCCACTTTTTGGAGACTGCACGAATAAAGCATGCCCATCACTACCCATGCCACCACATTCTGGGCAGTTAAAGCTTGCAGGTGGTCTTCAAGAGCAGCCCCATGGATAGCACATTACAGTAGTGAATAGTCCAAGACAGGATTGTCTGTGGAGATGGTCTTTGTCAAAAAAAAAAAGTCAAGATGATTACCACAACTAAGCAACCACAACCTTCAACATAGGTAAAAAGTGGACAGGACTTTGATGTTATGGTTATAGTTACCATCTTGACCTTTCTTTACACCAGAGGTCTCCAAACTTGGCAACTTTAAGACTTGTGGACTTTAACTCCCAGAATTCTCCAGCCAGTATGCTGGCTGGAGAATTCTAGGAGTTGAAATCCAGAAGTCTTAAAGTTGCCAAGTTTGGGAACCTCTGTTTTACACAAACACCCCACAGACATCTCTGATCTAAGCCTTTGCCCGTTTTGAATAAACCAGGAAAATGTGAGATAGATGCATTCTCACATTCATGCATTCTTTCTCTCACACATTCCCCTTGTAATATAGGGAGGGGCTTAGAAGAGGCCAGAACATGCTATAAATGGCTGCCATGGGCATGACCTACCATTATCAGTCATTGTCATTGTTAGTCACAGCCACCTACCACAAAAAACTGGGGGGGGCGGGATTAAAATGAGAGGATTAGAAAGCCTGTTGGTTATCAAGAGAGTCACTTACAGACAGCATATTGTCATCCTTTTATATTGTTTAATATATAGCAATAGCAGTAGCACTTAGACTTATATACTGCTTCACAGTGTTTTACAGCCCTCTCTAAGCAGTTTTAAAGAGTCAGTATATTACCCCCAACAATCCAGGTCCTCATTTTACCCACCTCGGAAGGATGAAAGGCTGAGTCAACCTTGAACTGGTGAGACTCGAACTGCTGAAGTGCTGGCAGCTGGCAGCCAGCAGAGGTAGCCTGCAGTACTGCTTCCTAACCACTGCACCACCATGGTGCCATCTTATATATAACAAAAAATATAGGAGGTGTTAAACTTAAACTGGGTTAGTATCCAGCAGCTTGGTAGCTGCGGCTCTGGTTCAATCTCAGCTCTTTCATTTTTGTTAAACGGGCATTGTCCAATTAGTCCTGTTCATCATGGCCACCATTTTGTGAACAATCAACCTTTTCCCACTGAAAGCCATTTTGTGAGAGAACCACCATTTTTCTTCAAAATTCCAAAGGTCTCACCGGTCCTAATTAACTACTTTAAATTTTATAATGCTGTACTTAATTGTAACTCAGTACACTCAAAAGCATCCAATTTGTTCTTTTCTTATTCCAGAGAGGAAGGGTCCATTTTAACTGCTCCGGTGGTGGTCC